CCCAAAACTAGCAACGTACTTCCAGTCGCGTTCAATCTCAAAACTTCATTCCACCACTATGCCCATTAGAAGCACTGTATTGATGGAAACAGCCGCCATCAAGAAGCCACTAACCTTCCACCGTAATCCAGGGGTAAAATCGTCCAAGAATTGCACCGGGTAATTAACGCCTAGTTTGAAATACCCAACAGCTTCAGATTTAACTAGACCTTCATCTTCAACAAGATACCAGTCAAATGATAATAGAGATCACTCAGTATTGATCATTATTAGGCCAGGGGTAAAATCGTCCATAATGTGCATAAGGTGAAACTAGTGTTACCAGCAGCAACATACCAATTATGTGATAACGTGTCAACTTGATTTATATTTGGTTGCTAGTGGGTCAAACAGATCTTTATTTTTAAAATTAAATATTAATAACTTCAGCTAAAACTGAAATGTGGAAACCACCCCAAGTGTACTCGAATATTTCAACCTTGAAAATTGCTCAACTTAAAAACCAATAGATCTTTATTTTTAAAATAGTTTTTGTATCTTATTTAATAGATTAAATAAAAGAAATAGAGATATGTTTTTATTTATTGGTGTGAAGCCCATGTCCATGATCTTCAAAAGCCCATTAGATCCCTTCAAATAGGTTTGCACAAAAAAACCGGTTCAGGATCCGAACCGGTCACTGAACCGGTCCACTAGGAACCGAACCGATTCAAGAACCGAACCGCCGGTTCGCACCCGTTCGAGATTTTAGATATTGAAACCGGTTTAGAACCGGTTTAATAACCGCGAACCGGTTTGGAACCGGTAGTCAAACCGATCGAACCGGTTTAGAGCCGATTGAACCGGTTTAGAACCGGTGTAACCGGTTTAGATAGGTTCGAGTTTTTCTATGACGGAACCGGTTTATGGCTGAACCGGTTTTACTATTCACGAATCTGAACAGAACCGGTTCGGTTTGAAAAAAAAAAACCGGCTTGTTCACCCCTACCTTCAAATGTCATTATTCACAAGCAACAGTCGGCATCTAAGCCCAAATAATGCATTTCTTTGCTGATCTGTCAAAATGAATCATCACTCACAGTAACAGCAATTCGTTTTATCACTTGTAGCCCAGCCAAAAAAAAAGTTATGGAGCTTATTTAATATGATATCAAGAAACCAAGAGAATTCTCCATAAATTTAATATTGAAAGTCTTCAAAAAGATACTTCAGAGTTCAGATTAATAATTAAAGCCCAATTGTCTTTATAAAAACATCATTGTCCAGACTTCCATCAAGTCCAAATCTATCCTAATAAATGAAAATGTTTTTACCATTTTTCAACATTATAATTAATGAATCATTTATTATTTAAGGTAAATACATTTTTCTCCATAAAATGAATATAATAATAAATAGTTTGTTTTTTTCTACCACTAAAAACATTTATTATGACTTTTTGGTTACATAAATTAAAATAATGAAATATTATAAAACAATATTGTCAAAATTGAGATATAATAAAATATATTTGGTTAACTTTGAAATAAAATAGACATTAAAAATATTTAATGTTTATAACTTGATATAAAACTTTTATTTTTAATAAACTCATGTAGCATACGGGTTTCACACCTAGTAAAAAAACAAATTGAATTCCAAATTATAAAGAATAAAACCGTACACCTTTCTTCTTATCAGGCTTACTTCTCCATCAAACTCGAATCCTTACTTTTTTTTTCTTTTGAATTCCGAGTATTTCAGCCCTTAATATCATTATCAAATCTTCTTTTTATTAAATCCAAATCGCAATAGAAATATAGAATACTACTATCAATGTTTTTTTCACATTTTATCTTCACCATTTTGTTTTCCTTCTCACAAAACTTGATAGTAATAATTTGAAAAGTACTAAACGAATCACCTCTATATCTTCTATTTTCATGTATCCTTCTCATATTGAAAACATATATGCCACAATTTCTCCTTGAATGAAATATCTTCTTTTTATTAATTGGGTGTCATCTACTCCTCTTCCAACTAAACCAACGCATGTGATCTTCCCACTATTATCTTTTTGCCTATTCTTGGCTTTATTCCAATACATGCACCGAAGATAAAAGACAAAGTAGAAAATATATTACAATCGTAGACTCGATTACTTACTTTGTTGTTATTCCAACACCTCATATTGTCAATTCTATTTCTTTATACTTGTCCTCAAAATGAGATTAAAAACTTCCATGAAGAAAAAAAGTAGGATTCTATAATAAACAAGTCAATCGGAGGTTTGTTGCTATTTCATGCATTAAACTTCGAGAAAATTTGTGAAATGATCAAAAAGAAGGGATTGTTTGAAGAAAATGACCAAAAATTAAGAGTTTTCGAAAAATGACCACGACTTACGCAGAGAGACCTCTGCGGAAGTCCTTTAGCTCTGAGGAATAAGAAAACTATATGAGGAAATGACGTGGCGGGGAAAAGACAAAAAAAAATTATAAAATTATAATTCCACAGAGGGTGCATCGTTCCACAGAGATGCCCTCTGCGGATCTATTCTTCAGAGGTACTCTTCTGAGGAATTGTTCTTCGCTAAAACATGACCTAATAACGATTATAGTATTTGTTTTCTTCTAACTCTTACGTGGTATCAACATTTAGCAAGTATCACTGATTCAAAATAACAATTTAAACTATAAAACTATGTTTCTAAGTCTATTTCTTTGACGATTTAGTCAACATAGGTGATGTTTTAGCGAAGAACAATTCCTCAGAGGTACTCCTCTGAAGAACAGATTCGCAAAGGGCATCTCTGTGGAACGATGCACCCTCCGCAGAATTAAAATTATATATA